TTTTTTTTCATGACAAAGAGTCTTTTACTTTTAAATGATATCAGTACACCAAGTAATAACATGTAACAAGTTTGTGAATTCTATCTACTATCTGATTAAAGGCAGCCCAAACGATTACACTAGTAGTCTCTGTTCTATCCTTTAGCCGGAAAGGACTATTTTAAGGCTGGCTGCTGCTTCACACAGGTTACAAGTAACTACTCACTACTTTTTCATAGATAAAGCCCCTGACCTTCAAGAAAGCACTAGGGAAAAAAAATATATTTAATCCCTTTCTTTCTTCAAAGAATCTCCTTTTTTACTAGATCTAAAACAGAAAAAGTTAACATTGAGATACATGTTGCTTGAGCTAAAGGCATAGGAAAACAACATACACCCATTAAATTTCTAAGAAATATGAGGTAAAAAGATAAATTCTTTGGGTAAGTTCTAAGTCTGTACAAAGAAGCTAGATTTGCTACTCTGCAAAAAGTGAAAGGACCTGCTATATAATATACAGAAATAATTTAATGCCTTTCCCAAGAATATAACTGGAGCTCCGTAATGCTTCATATTCCATGAGGGCATCTAAGACACCAATCCATGGGACAGGCACGTCATTCTTCTCCTATCCATTTATGCGGTAGTTTTCATGGATTTCTGGCCGGATGTCACAGACAAAGGTCAACAGGTTATCCAAGACTTCATCCCTGTTCTGCAGGAAGTAGTTCTGGAGGATGGTCATCTTCTCCTGGGTCTCCTTCTCCACTTCAGTGCTGCAACTACCATGGGATCCCAGAGCCTGGAGTAGGGGAGTAATGACAGAGGGGACACATCAGGACAATGCTCTGGTTGGCTAGGAACACTCCAGGCTCATCCACACATATAAACCATGAGTAGCGGGCAACGAACCCATGAGAAGAACACAGGGGGACGCAAGTATTCCCACAGGGTACATAGGAGCCACCTCTACTAAAAGATAAAAACTTCATGGCATTTCCACTGCTAGGAAATCATACAGAGACACAGTCACGCCTCTCCAGAGCTCATGTGTAGCTGTAACTAAAGACTGGAATCAACTAATGACTCAATATTTGGGACTGGTTAAACCAATTACAGTGTTTCTATACAAAAGAAGGCAAGTCGGCAATATGGAAAACTGTAAGCCATGCAGTTAAGGGGGAAGGGTGAAAACAAGATATAAAACAGTATCAGTGTAGCTAGTATGTATACAGACTTCGGAGAGTTCACAGAAAAATGGAATTAAAGTGCAAGTTTACTTTGGTGTACAAAAATTTTGAAATCTATGCATTGTGTTTTTCATAATACAGATTTTTCCATGATCTTTCTGAAGACATCTCATACATCTCAGTGGTTTTAAAAGTGGGGAAGGTTGGACCAGCAGATGGAATAATGGTTATGTCACTGAACTCCCACGTAGTCGCCTGCGGTTTGAGTGCCAAAATTGATGGCTTAAAATTCCCGCCTGGCACATGTGCGTGCGTGTCCAAAATCCTGAGAGAACGAAGGAGGGATTGCGGTGGGGCTATTCCACCGGGGGGAGGTGGCGGGGAGGGAGTGATTTCTCCCTTTCTGTGCCTCTGGGGAGTTCATGTGCTCTATAGCAAAAATCTCTCTCTCAAAAAAAAAAATAAATAAATAAGTAGGGGAGGTTTAAGGTTTACGGCATTTTTAAAATAAATTCCTAAAAAATCAGAAACATGTACAGCACAGCAGTGAAGCGCAATGCCCTGTAAGGCCAACTCACATGAGAAGGTTGCAGTTTTCAGTAGGAGAGCTCCCTAGGTACAGAGTATGCACATGCCCATGATCTGGGCTGGCTGGGGGTGGACTGCAGCACTGAGATTCCTACGTGTGTAAATGGAACACACACGCTTAACAAACACATAGGACCTATCCATGTTATTTATGATTTCTCTCTCACTCATGAAATAATAAACTTTATAAAAAATGAACACACTCGGGCCAGCAGGTTGCATGGTGGTCGGGGGGCACTGGACTCCCACACTGCTGACCACAGCTGGAGTCGTGGACCTGGCAACTTGCTTTTTCACTTTCTCTCTGGTCAAATAAATAAATTAATAAAGTTAAATTTTAAAAAACTCTAAAATTAAAAATATGAACACACTCAAGGATGACACAATTTAGGAGGACTTTCACCATTCTTGGTTAATGTTGTAGCCCTTAAGTTCAGCAATGGATTCACCAGTATTATGAATACACGACATCTGTTCCTTCAAATATAAATATTCTAGAAGAATAAACCAAAAACTGTTACAAGTGACTGGTTCAGAGGAAGAAAGCAACTCTGGGTAAGGGGAAAAGTAATTTCTCAGTTACAGGTATGTTTAATACAAAAATATTAGATTTATGTTAACAATAACCCTTCTGTTTGTGTAACAGGACAGTTTATAAACACCCTCTCACATAACCTGTTCCTAACAACCTACAAAGAAGCTCTTACTCCACTTTTCACAAATCGGGAAAGCAAGGCTCAGAGCGGGCAAAGCACACACACAGATTCAAACCCAAGTCTTCTGGTTCAAACTTAGGGCTCTTCGCACTACACTGTAACTGTTCATATCACACAGATACCCTGGGGCATGTCACAGTAGTTAGCTCGGCTGCTCCCTCATATATTTAAGTACTTGACCTGTACTAGGGGCAGGCCAGGCAGGAGGGATACCCACCCACGACCTCTGTTTCATGAATATAGCCATAAGTCACACCCCAGTAACTGGTACAAGGAGGCACAGCTTGTGCCTTATGGTGGAACAGACCCAATCTCTGCACGAAACCGCAGCAGTGTATAAAAATATGAAGAGGGGATAGCTACCCTGACCCAAAGTAGATAAGCACTGTTTTGTGGATAGTCTGACAATTTACAGCACAATCAGCCCCAGTCAGAGAAACATTTTATGTTTTAATAGCACTGTGATCGTCCAGTGCAAAGATAATCCAATCTTTTGCTACTTAATGCTAGGAGAGAGAGAGACGCCTAGACTTGGGCCTGGAAGGGCTCACTCCTGAACAACTGGCAGCCACAATTCGAACTTGAGAATGAAGCACACAACGGCAAAGCTGAGAGTGTCCTAAGCATGTTATTTAAGCTCTTGGGTCAAGGTAAAGAAAGCTTTTCACCTGCGTTTTTAATTATATAGGCCAGTGGACATTTATCAATACACTGTAAACCAGTTTGGATTGTGTTTTCTGTTACCTGCATTTACGGGTCCTGATAGCGTTTCCTCCTTCTGTGAAGCCTCCATTCCTTCTCCTTTCCAGAACTATCCCTACTTCATTTGCACTCCAAGATCTGTTTTGTACTATTACCATCTGCACCACGGTACTGACCCTACTAAAGCCAAAGTCTCTCTAGTATACTGCCGTAGGGCTCCGTCTGATTTGTTTACGACGATCACAGCACTTTTCACAACTCTAAGCTCACACGGCTGGCATCTCACTACTGTGTCTCTTATTGCTCCCAAGCTAAGGCCCCTGAGGGCAGGGACCTTGTCTCTCTCCTATTCGCAGATGACACCCCCCCCCCAGCATCCATCATTGTATTTAGCACATGTTCAAGGACCCACCGCGGCTTCCTTGGCCTTAAATTCTTTCTCCCTCTGCAGGCGGTACTGTTCAATTTCAGCCTGAGCTTCTTCTTTGGCCTGCTTCAGCCTCCGGTTCTTTCCTATTTCAAAGAAGAAAGCCACATCAGGAAGTGGTTAAAAGGCCAGACAGAAAGCAGGCAGAGGCAGAAATAGTACATTTTAATAGTAAACAAAGAAATTTTAGGGTATGGACCCAGGGGATGTACATGAGAAAGGGAATTCAGGGCTCACAGCATAGGCTCCTGCCTCTTCCAGGCTGCACTTAACCAGGAATGATAAAATAAAAAGGAATGCCTTTCAGAAACTGTAGTTCATAAAAATGATGGCACAAATCTTGCAATGTGGGGCCAGCTGGTGGAATGGAAGTGAACTGGCTGGATCCCACGTGGTCCATTGTGCCATTCAAGTTCTAGACCTATAAGCTCGAAAAACACTACAAAATTTCAAAAGGAGAAATAGAGACGGGATGGCCGTATGGCCATTCCCCACCGAGGGGAGTTTCTTTTTTCCTTTCTCTCTCTCTCTGGTGAGTGATATGCCTCTGGCATTTTTTTTTTTAATGTAGAATATGTTAGAATATTTTCTCAATATAAACAACTAAAAACCAACTGGGTAACATTAGTCACCTGGGAACTCTTCCTTTTCCCAAGAAGTAAACACCTAAGTATGCTGCTGATTACAACTCCAGTTCTGCCTACCTAGCAAGGAGGCTAATCTGCTCCTAAGGGACAGCAACCTAAATGTAACTAATGACACAGATGATGTAACACTGGAAACAAAAACCAGGCCTGTCACAAGGAAGTGATCTAAGTGGTGTCTGGGAAGGAATGCTGAATGGGGAGGACTGGACAGTAAGACTGCACAAGCAGCTGAGAGGTGAGGGGATACCGGTGTTGGTTTCCTTAAGAAAGTAGTTTAATACACAGCTGGGAAAAAACCTCCAGGTTCCATCAGAGCCTGTATGAAAACAGCCTGCGAGGATTCCACTCCAAATCTCTGCTCAGCACTCACACTTCTTGAACACCCAAATTTATTTCCAAGTGGAATTAAAAAAAAGCAAGTCCTAGCAGATAAAACTGAGTATTTAATTGGAGCAAAAATACATCTGAAACAAAACGCTGTTATACGTCATAGTACGGCAGTTGTTTAGAACCACATGACAACCATGTGGGTGAAGAAAATGAACTTAACCTCCCACTTCCTGATTACAGAATCTCAGGCCTGCAATGACCCCATGACATCCATACTTTATTAAGCTAGTCTGAACAAGCATTGCCTTTCCTTTGGGTCCTGTGCGGTCCGCTATGACCAGCCTAGACTTCTCTGCACACACTCTCCTCCCTAGAAGTTGTACTGGCTCAGATTTCAAAGTCAAAAATCTTACTCAAAGCAACGATCTATGACTGACTTTTATGGCATGAACACTGTGCAGCAGTTTCACATCATTTCACAACACATCACTCCCACACTCCTGAATTACTTAATATAATCCTCTCTGCCTTTCAGCAAACATCTTCAAAGCTCAATTTCAATAGGCTTCTCTGAAAACCAAAAATGTTTGCAAAGAAAATTGTATTTCTTTTAAATCTTGTTTTTCTTGGGCCTTTGTATAGAGTCAATGTTTCTTCCACTCCAAAGAAATGAACCATAACACAGTTTTTTGTTTTAATTTTAAGGTCCTATGCAATGATTTCAGTGGAAAACTTGGGTTGAACCATTTTACCACATCATGTACTGCCTGTTCCCAATTCAGTTAGTTTAGGCAAGTCAGCCACAATTACAAATCAGAAAAGGCAGTTAATTGAGCCAGGCCTGTAGCATAGCCCTTCCGTGCTATGCATAGGAAATAGATTCCCATATAACCAACTGTGATTCAAATCCCTGCCCCAGCGACTTAAAAAACATGCCAGGTACATGTGCATGCATGCCCCAAATCCTGAGAGGATGGAGATGGGAAGAATGCAGAAAAGGGGATTGTAGCATAACTATACCCCATGGGGGTGTAGTCTCTTCATAATCTCTAAGTGTGGTCCAGCGATTAAAAAAAAAAACCTAGAAAAAGGAAACGCAGTAATTTTCCAAACTGTAACTCTTCCGAGAACTTTTGTTTCTACTGAAAATTCTGAGCTGTGTATTAGCAGTAAACTAACTCCTTTCAAACAAATTCATCTAATAAAAAAGCACCTGAGATATCGAACACAATACCCTGCACTAGGTTTGACAGGATAAAGGGGTAAACATGACCTCTAGGCCCTCAACGCACTAAAAATGATCACCATCCTGCAAGAACTTGCTCATGCACTTCCCCCAGCCTCACATCCTCCCAGCAGATACCAATTCTGCAACTGATGAGCCATCACTGACTGAGAGGTCATTCTGGAAATACTTATCAGGGGCATGACTGGAACAGTGCAAAGAACTGGAACTCTCTAGTCATCTCTAGTCACCAGAGCAAGAAGAAACGGCTTCTCCCCATCTTCAATATCCTCAAACCTTTTTCCTGTGAAATAGAGTATATCATACAACCCTTAATTCAGAAAGTACAAAGGCCAGGCCTGAGATTCACTTAGATGTGGGACAGAATACAAGTCTTATACTAGGAGAAACACCAAGGAACTACTAAAATTAATACCTCCTTGTATTTTATCCCTGCATGAGAAAAGTCTCTTAGCACCAACTATGCTGCTTCCCAGAGTATAAATTATCTCTGAGCCTCACTTTTCCCATCTGTAAAATGGGGATAGAAACATCTCACATACCAAATAAGAAATGGGCTAACTTAACTGAGACCCAGTCCCCGGTCGAATTTAACTTAAGTAGTTGAGGCTAGTGACTGAGCTATATAAACGAATGGGTCGTTGCACTATCATGACAGCCTACTTTGAGAGAGAAACAATGAGAAAAGAAAAGTTTCCTGGAAGAACTGCTGCCTAAATTCTGTGGATGACTAAGGATCAGAGGGAAAAATGGGAAAGGCTCCTCCAATCAGAGCAGACAGCTTATGCAGAGGCTTTCAGAGGGAACAGCAAGTGTCTCTGAGGAATCAGAGATTCAGCATTCGCTGAGGGAAGAGTATGGAGATCAGGAAGTAATTCCAGAGCCTGATCCAAAAGAGCCTCCTCCACCCCACTAAGGAATTTGGGTCTTATTTTACAGGCACTAAATGTTTATTGACTGTAAATATGGGAGGGAAGTCATATTTGCATTTTATATGGAAGGATGACCAACTGCATTGAGAACAGGCTAGAGGAGAGCAGGATGGCTTCCTCTACTCTAAATCAGATCCACCTGTTAAGTTCTTCAGCCATCTCGCATTTCTCAACTCTAGCTCTCAGCTCACCGGCAATTAACCTGGCCAGTACCTGCTTCCTTCACTGACCGGTGGAATACAGCATGGTGCTGGAGACCACCGGTGCATTGGGGCAGGGACAAGGGAGGGCTTCAAAGGGTTCAAGGAAAATGTCTACAGTGAAAAAACTATCATTTCAATTTTTTGGTGCCAAAATAAAACTTGTACTTCAGTTCCATTTTCCACAAAATGTTTGAAGCACCCTCCCATTAGCTACATTAAAAAAAAAAAAAGTACGTAAAAACCAACAAGTTAGGCGGCTTACGGGGGCTTCAGAGAAGTTGGGGTCTTGAGTTAACAATAAAAATTCGGGAGAAAAGTAAAAAGACGCACAAGACTTGGCGAATGACTAAAAGTGACAACGGGGGATGAAGAATAAGCAGAGACGACTCCAGGCTCCTGGCCTGAGCAACTGCGTGGATAGTGGCTCTCTCAGACGAGATGAAGCTCCCCAAAGGAACCAGTAGGAGGGAAAAATGACCAAGAGCTCGGTTTGGCCAGCCGGTCTTACCCCGAGCCCGCGACGGCCGCTAACGCCTTGTCCCCACACCCAATTAACTATTCCACACGGCGGCCTTCAGGGACCCACAAGCCTTCCACGGCCTCGGCTCCAGAGAGGTTCGAAACGCGCAAGCCCCCACGACAGCGGTTTCTGGGCGCCCCCCGCGGCCTACCCACCTCCCCAAGCTTGCGCAGGGCCCGGCCACCCTCCCCGAAACTCACGCTTGCGGGCCTCGGACACCTTCTCGGCGGCCCTTTTCTCAGCCTGCAGCAACTGCTGGATCCCCTGCGACTGGCTAACCATGCCGGCGGCGGCGCCTCCGAGGCGCGGGGAGCGGCCTTACCTAGCTAGAGGGCCCCTTGGGTCGGCTGACCCGCGGCCCACTACCTGCGCCTGCGCAGAGACGGCAACACGCCCTCTGTCACGTGACTTAAGAAGCGTCAGGTCAGCTGACCTCTCTAGGAGGTCTGTGATTGGCGGGATGGGTGGGATGGGGCGGGGCGGAGAAGGGAAGAGCCGAGTGGTCTGACTGCGCCTGCGCCAAATTAGGCGTTATCCCCCTTGCTGGCCCCATCTGCTGTCGCCTGACCAATGCCCGCTCTCCCGCCAGCTCCGTCCTTGTAGCTGCCCTTCGAAGTCGTTTCTGCCATAGTCCCTCCCTCTGTAGTACGCACTCGTTAAGGCTCAGAGAGGACGAGGCAAGCCAAATCACTTTCCCCTATTTTATTACCCTCAATCTTTCTGGTACATTACTTAGTACTCAGAATATATTAGGGCAAGTTAGGAAGATTTTTGTTATTCCAGGGATAGGGTCTTGGTTTGCGGGGAGACTGAGTCAAATGTAATTTTGGATAGGTCATTATCCCTTTGTGAACTCAAGCTCAGAAATACGTAAATATATAAATATTTGGTGCGTGCCTGCTATAATCCTGGGCCACCGTTGGTACTAAAGCTGCTGAAAGCTAGACGAATGAGGTCCCTGAAGGAGCTCACAGTTTATGAAAAGCCAGATTAATTAAAATACATAGACAATTACAAGTTGTGATAAAGTAGTGAAGATAAAATGCAGGCTGCCTTAAGAAGGACACCCTCCCCAGTAAAGGGGGGAAGGATGGAGATGTCTGTGAAGGCTCACCCAAGGTAGTGTTAGGGTTCAGAGTAAGACTCAGGAGGCGCCATCTCAAGAAAAAAAAAGGTAAGTTTATTGAGAGAAAACGCACCACAGGTCTAAAGCCGGAAGTGCTTCAGCTCACCCTACTGAGGAGATGTAATCTATATATATATGGCAGAGGTGGAAGGGTAAGGTCACAAGAATGGCGGGTACTTTGATTCCCTTACTTGCCACCCTGATTTTATTGGCCTATCCATGGGTGTCAGCTGCCAGTAAAAGAGGGTTCTGGCCACAGGATTCTGGCCAAAGGTCGTTGCAACCATCCCTTATTTTTTTTTATTTTTTACTTTTTAAGTAATTTTTTAAAAGAATTATTTTATTCAACTTTATTTAATTCATTTATTTTTTAATTTGACCAGAAAGGGACTGCAAAAGAGAAAGAGAGCAAGCTACCAGGTCTGGGATTTGAACCAGGGTCAGCCATGTGGGACTCCAGCGCCACTTGCCAGCCACCCTCCCCTTATTTTCTAACAGGAAATTACCTAAAGACCATTCAGGGGTCAACCTAGCAAGTAGTGGTATTCTAAATAAAATCTGAAAAAAGAAATGTTACCCAGGAAAGGATAACTGGGGAACAGTGGTGGGGAGAAATTGGGAGATGATTGCAGGAAAGGACCAGCACTGTGGAGCTGGGAGGAGCACCTTGACCCAGAGATGTTCTCCCACCATGAATAGGGAAATTGGAAACCAGTGGTTGAGCTACGGTAGGAAAGGCGTTGTTCCTAAACACTTGACTTACTCCTCACAGCAACTCTGAAGTGCTGTTAATCTCATTTTATAATGACCAAACTAAAGCTCAGAGAGGATAAATAACTAGTCCAAAGTTACACCGCTATAACCATTAAATGAGTATTTGAACCCAGTGGTGCTGCAGAATGAAACCTCTGACCAGCTGTTCGCTTCTGCAAAAACCTGGTGGGTTTTGGAAAGGACTAGATGACCAGAAATCACCAAGTGCCATAGTGAGGGCTTAAAGTAATGCCAGAATTTTTCTTGATACAGAAACCTCCATATTCAAGAGGGAAGTGGATTTGTGACTTCAGACATTTTCATTTGATCGAGATTGGGAGTGGAGTTGAAAAGAAAGCAAAAATCCAGAACTCTTACTATTTTCTGATGAGAACCAGGATTTGACTGGTCTCAGACTTTTAAGTCCAGTCAATGATTCCTTGGGAAGTTTTGTAATTTAGGGTCTTCTAAGAAAACACAGTTTAGTCAGTCTACAGAGAGAATAATGCACGCTTCTGGGGTTGAGATGAAAATTAAAAGAGGTGATGGGAGCCAAAAAGTGGAAACAGCCCACATGTCGGTCAATTGATGAGTGGATGAATGAAGCATGGCATATCCATATAATAGAATAGTATTCAGTCACAAAAAGGAATAAAGTATTGATAAAAGCTGGAACATGGATGAACCTTGGTAACACTACGCTAAGTGAAAGAAGCCAGGCCCAGAGGCTATATATAGTTCCACTGATATGAAATGTCCAAAATAGGCAAATAGAGACAGAAAGCAGATTAGTGGTTATCCAGGAAAAGGATTGGGGAGTGATTGATAAGTGGTCCATGGCTTCTTTTTAAATTGCTGGAAATGAACGGGAATTAGATAGTGGTGATGATTGCACACCCTCGTGAACACACACACAAAAACCCACTGAACTGCATACTTTAAACAAGTGAATGGAACCATATGTGAATTATATCTCAGTAAAGCTGTTACAAAAGAAAGAGAAAAATGGATGGGAGCCCTTGCAGAGTTTCTAGTCTGTTGTGTCAGAAAGTGTAAGATTTTGGAGGGAAGGGAAATGGTGGTTAGATGGTAATTATTTAACTTCTTATAAATCAGGCCTTCACTTAACAAAAGCCTTCACATTAGGATTCCTCTAATAGCCCAGTTTTTCAGAGCATCTAAATATTTACAAATTCCAGAATTCTCTTGCTCACAGCATTTCAAAAGTGTATTGTGTAAAGAGAGAAACATTAGACAATCCCTTCTCTGAAACGTTCAAACTGCTTTGGATTTTCCTTTTATCTGAGTGGGTGTTTGTTGTCAGAACTTGGGCACTCTGAGGAGATGGCCCATAATTATTAGGAAATAAAGATGAAGCAATTGCCTTCTGAGGCAAACCTTGAAGTCTTGAGTTACCAGGTTAGAGCAAAGACTCCCAAGGTCAACTGAAGGGCAGAGTAGATCTCATGCCTGGTTGCCCTAACAGAAGAACACATTAGCACACTTCTAAGAAAAGAATGTGCCTATTCTGAGGCCTAAGGGAAATGGGTTCTCTTATTGCCTTAGCTAAGACAAGTAGATGGCCTGGGTTCAAATCCCAGTCCTGCCATTCACTTGCTGGATGACCTCAAGCAAATTACATAACTTCTGCAAACCTCCTTCTCCAACTCCTCATACATTAAAAATGGGGTTATTATGAGGATTAAATCAGTTAAAACATGTAGCTAGTTTAGGAGGTACTCAATTCTCATAAAATCATGGACATCTGCCTAACCTCCTCCCCTCCCCCAATAGTGATTTCTTATCAACGGAATAATAAGTTGGCCTTTTGCTTGTATATATCAACCTAGTGTACCTGGTCAATGGAAGTTCATCTCAGACAAAGTGACTGCTTCTAGCGACTTCACAGGGCACTGCATGCGGTTGCTTAAGGAAGCAATGCTGCTAAAACCCAGCCCGTGCTCTGCCCATTCCGCCCAGAGGGAACACTTTCTTTTCTAATTTATACAAAGATTTCTGTAGGTCCGAGCAATAATCCTGGGACAAAATCCAGGGCGAAGGCCTGACTTGGCCCCTGGGAAACTCAGGGAAGAACTAAATGCCGGCCGGACCTCTATCCCCAGATGGGCTTTCTGGTCTCTGGCTCAGGTAACCGTCATATTTGTGTTCCACATGGGAATGTTAAGGATTAATAGTTAACCTTTACTTTCCCTTAATTTATACTCAAGATAATTATAAAGAGACTGTCAAAAGACAAATTTAGTGATAGACCTAATTGGTTTTATTTGTGATTCATGAATTAGGGGAGCCTTCACTCCAGTTAAATAAAAATCATAGGAGGCCATTGCTTTGGATCAAGCTGCCGCAGTAAGCCCCCAACAGACCAGGCTAAAAATCAAAATGGAGTCACCCACGCTAAAGTTCCAAGTCACGGAGCTTGATTAAGCTTTTCGTCTGACTTTCCCGGAAATCAGGAGAACGGGAGATGACAGCCAAATTTCCCCAAAAAAACAGTTTCAGTCAACTTGTTAATGGAGTCCCCCCTGCTTTAATTCTTACCCCTCCCGAAAAAAAAGTAACAGAAGTAATCTCACGTCAGCCAATGAATAACATTTCCGTTGTTTCTGCCTTACAAGGAAAGTAACTTTGAAATGATCAATCCACTTTTTATTCTATTACACATTTCTGCTTTCTTCAGCTTATTCGTCTATAAAACCAACCTTTTCTGCTCTACTCTTCAAAACACTCATTCTGTTTTATGGAATGACATGTTGCCCGATTCTTTTTTTTTATTTTTAGAGATTTTTGCCTTAGGGCGCGTGCACCTGCCAGAGAGAGAGAGACAGAGACAGTTAAGAGGGAAAGTAAGAAATCACCCCTAGGGGGATGGCCACACCACAATCCCTTTTCCTCCATTCTCCTCCCAGGATCCTGGGCATGCACATGTGCCCAGTGTGATTTTCTTTTCTTTTCTTTCTTTCTTTTTTTTGGAGAGAGATTTTTTTGTTTAGAGATTGTTTGCTGTAGGGCAAACAGAGGGAATGGACACACCACAATCGCTTCTCCTCCATTCTCTTCTCAGGATCTTGGGCATGCACACGCATGAATGCATATGCACCTGGCATCAGTTTTAAGCCTCCGGTCTGGGATATGAACTACAGTCAAACATGCAGGAGTACATGCAGGAGTCTAGTGACATAACCATTTTGCCATCTGCTGGTCCTTCTGGCATGATTTTCAAGTTACTGGGTCCAGGACTCGAACCACAGTCAGCCATGTGGGAGTCCAGCAACATAACTGCTGTGCTATCTGCTAGTCCCTGTTGCTCATTCTAAACTTACAAATAAAGCCAATTAAGATCTTTAAATTGTTGGTGGAGCCAGCAGGTAGCTTAGTGGTTGGGGCGCTGGGTCAGCCCTGGTTCAAGCTGTTTGAAATTCGTGCCTGGCTTGTGTGCTGCCTGCCTAAGATCCCTAAAGGAGATTAGAGGAGAAGGGATAGCGCCATCCCTCCTAAGGGGTGATTTCTT